TCTCTCTCTCTCTCTCTCTCTCTCTCTCTCTCCCCATCACGCCAGGAAATCTTGCGCGCCGACGAACTAGCACGGGCGCCTCCTTACCGACGTAAGAAGAAGAAGAAGAAGAAGAAGAAGAAGAAGAAGAAGAAGAAGAAGAGGACGATGTACGCACCTGTGGCGCGCTGCGGGGGGGGCGGTAAAAGCACGGGCGACAGCCTCCACGACGGGCGATGACCGACTTTGATGGAGGCAACAACGACGACGGCAAGGTCGGGCGACGGGCGACGGGGAGGGTGGACAACGACATAGGCAGCGGGGCGTTGGCCTGGGGGAACGGGGGGTAAGTTGGGGGGTGGTGGGAGATCATAGGCAGGAGGGAATGAGAGGGAACGCCTCCAAGATTTGAAAAGGGCGGCCTTATCTGGGCGGCCGATCTTTTGAGATCAGTGGTCCAGATAGGCCGCCCTTTTCAGGCCTCTGGACGGGCCTACTGGACCCGGTTCAATTTTTTTTTCGGGCCAGGAGGCCCCCGCAACCTGCATGGGGGCCTCCTGGCCCCAAAAAAAATTGAACCGGCATCTAATCCTCGATGCACTGTGGGCGACCGGGGGGGAACCGGCACAGTCGGTACCGGGACATCTGGGTAAATATCTTGCCAGGAAGGATTTGACCACCTCCTCATGTTCTTCTTTAACTTAGTCGGTTTCCTAATCAGGAAGTTGTTGCAAGACTATTCTACTGAGATCAGGTTTCTTGATTTGGAATATTGGATAGTGAGATTTCTTGTTTGAAATTGTTTGGTCCCGGTACCGCGACATCTGGGTAAATATTTGCCAAAAAGGATTTGACTGATACCCTGTAGGCCTGAAAGTTAACGCAGGTCACCACACATTTCCGGAACTCCTGTATCATGAATGGAAGGTAGAAACTTACTAGAAAGATACAACAGTGATGGCCCACAGAAAGGTCTGTCTGGGCTCAGCTGCTAAAAATAGCCTGGGCCGAGCTGGGCCCGGAGGTTGGCTGGCTGGCTAACGGACAATGTATACATCCAGGCTGCCCTGTCAACGACAACTGGTGGAGGTAGGAGAGATGAGAGGATGCGGACACTGTTTTTCAAGGTTGTTGATTCTTGGTGTGACAAGCGAAGCATGTGCACTTTCAGTCTATGATAGTATTTGTGGAAGGCGTCGAGGGAGAAGGGGGACGTGGCAGAGTTGGTTACCCTCTATTCCTATTGTACTCGGCGTGTGTGACACAGATCATTTGAGTTGAGTGGCCGCTGTGAGGGGTTTGGGTTATTTGGGTAGGCAAATGTATGGGCAAGGAGTGGGAGAAGGTGTGGGATTGCTATGGTGGACTTCTTGAGTGGCTGGCAGTAAGGGGAGGATTCGGACATTGATTCTGGTTCATTCATTCATTGTTGTTGATGATTATTATCATTAATACGGTGTTGGTGATTCTGGTTCATTCATTCATTGTTGTTGTTGATTATTTTCATTAATACGATGTTGGGGGAGATGCTGGAGGAGGGAGTGGCAAGATGAGGGAGAAGTGACATTGGTTTAAGAAAAAAAGAAAAAAACGTATGGGCTGGTGACTTGCTGGATAGTGACAAGGTACATGGTTCATAACAGTGGTATCCGAGTGGGGACCGATGTGCCTGGTGAGAGGATGGTGTAAACACTCCTGTCCGGGGAGTTATGGAAGGAATTTGAAGCGGAGTCTTCAAGTATTTCGTGCATGGGAGTGGGGAGAAGTCGTAGTGCAGTGTGGGCGAAGAAGGAGATGTGTTTGTTAAGGAAGGAATCTGGAAGGTGTGAGCGAAGAACATCAGACTTTATGCGCAGTGGAATTGGATGGTGCAAATGTGGTAATCAAGGCTGACGGAGCCCAATTAGAGTGCAAAGAGCTAAATGATCATAGTTCTTTGTGCATTGGCAGTTAGGGAGACATATCGGGCATTGATTCTTTGTCCAGTCATTTATCTGTCATTAAATTGGTTAATCAGAGGAGGAGGAGATTATGTCAGGGGTGATATTGGAGGCGAAATGACGAGGGAGATTGCATTGGTTCAATATCCTCCTTCTCCTTCCTTCCTTCCTTCCTTCCCCCCCGCCCTCCTTCCCTCCCTCCCTCCCTCCCTCCCTTCCTCCCTTCCTCCCTTCCTCCCTCC